TGGCATGTACTAATATTAAAAAATTTAAAAGATAGCGATTACGTGAAATATTGCGTATCTACGAGTTGATTAAAATTGTATAAAAACCTAAAAAAAGAAGACGAAGAAAATTGTGAAAATCTAAACATCTCCAAATTGTGTTCCGTCTAATAGAATAATTACAGAAGATATATGGCTCATCGTTTTGTACTCCAACAATCGAAATTATAAAACGCAATGGGAAGTATGTATAATCATCCAATACATAATTTACAATGCGTTTACACCAGTTAACAAAGCACATACCGATTATCTAATCAAATAAATTGTCTATGAAATCATGCAAATTATTTCATTTAAAGATATCTAAACATTAAATAAAATTAATACAATGGAATTTAACGCCGAAATAGTCGAGGAAATAAATAGCATTACAATGACAATTTTATATTATACAGTGCCCGCCAAAAGTTTCGGGTGTACACTGCATATGTTTCCATCACCTAAATTATTTCTGAATAGTTCGAGATATAACATTGAACTTTATAGGAACACAATGAGATCATCAAATTTATCATTTAACCTCGAAAATAGCCATCTTAACACTCCTAAGAAGCAGGGGAAAAAGGCGCCGAATAATTTTAAATGGATGCATGTGGAATCGTATAAGAGTTTGTTTGAAAGTGTTTTCCGAGATAAGAACAACACGGCGCACAGTAGGGCAGATAATTCTCATCAACAATCATCAGAATTTCAACAGCAGCATTGGACGGACAGAGACAAAGGCGACGACAAAGGCTGCGGACATGGATGTAGAAAGAGGAAATGGATATCGGAAAATATTAGAATTGCTACCTGCCTGAATTAGGGATAGCTTGTCAGGAAAACAAGGAGAAATGATTGAAATAATGGACAAAAGGATAGAAAATTCATAAGAGCGGATCGTATGAGAAATGACATCAGACAGAATTTAGGAGTCCACCGACATCGAGGAGAAAATTAAGGAGTTCCGAAAACTGGTGGTACGAGCACACATGGAAGACACGGAACTGCCAAAGATGGCATTTACTATCGACCTCAAGGAAGGCAAGACATTGGACGTCCAAGAAAGAAATGAGCTATTGAATAGAAACAGATCTTAAGGCTGTTGAATAGAAATAGGTCGTAGGGCCACATGACACATCCGCTTAGAAGTTGATGATGATGATAATGATAATGACAATGGATATTTTCATTGCATTTCTATAAATTTCAATCTCATATCTCAAATCATTTAGAGTTACTTAGATTATCCGGAACTTTTGTCGCTCACTATACATATACATTCACACATGACATATATATGTATATATATATATATATATATATATATAGGACGTATGTATATAGAACGTCTAAAAATATTTCGAACAATGCTTGTGTGCAAATAAAAAATGGACTAAATTAAGTTAAAAAGTCCTCTACCATTTGCAATTTTCGTAATTTAACGAAACATTAATTTCTAAAGATCACCGAATATGCACGTATCTGTCCGGCCTACCGTCAAATGCACGGCTATCGCAATCGCTAAAAGCGCAAATTGTTTACTACATCGAGGCAATAGTTATATACTGTGAGAAAAAAAAACTCGTCGAGGCAATAGTTATATACGGTGAGAAAAAAAAACTCGTCGCGTGCTTGTATTTAGCGGTAGACATGAGCAAATATTTGCTTATTGGGAGATCTTTAGAAATTAGTATCGTTAACCGCAAAGATTGCAAAACAATAAAGGACTTTTTGACTTACAATCAATTTAGTTTGCTCTGAACACGTATTGTCCCAAATATTCTGGGACATCCTGTACACACACACACACACACACACACACACACACACACACACACACACACACACACACAACTCAATAAAATTATAAGATCACGTAAACTCAGTATTATAAAGGATCAAGGATACGTATTTTTGCGAAAAATGATTGTAGAACGATGTTTTAAATTCTGAAATCTTAACTTTTTCAAATACTTCAAATCATGTATTTCTGCAACAATTTCTCTACAAACGTAATTTAAAGTGAACCTCGAAAAATAAAGAACAATCTTCAGCTTTGATGACGTATATGGAGAGAATAAAATTTTTCTGCAAATTTCTTCAATTGTATTGTATAATATAACGTTTCCTCGTTAGAGTGTTTTTTAGTCACTACGTTTTAAAATCTATCGTCATTTATTGGAAACAAAATAAATTTTTGCAATGCGTTCAAACAGCCTGCTTTATTATTTTTCGAAGGTTTCTCAAGGTTTTTCATTGATAAATAAGATATCTTTTATGAATGTATGAACTTCCGAAATGATAATCGCATATAGCTGTCCGCTCACGGTCAAAATTTTAAATTCTTTCTTTTTATATCGAAAATGTTTATATCGACCATTTTTTTTTAATGCCAACAAGAAGGTACCTTATAGAAGTGGACATCTGATAGTATTTCAATGTATGACTTTGTTAAGAGGCTGTTTATAGCAGCTTATAGCAGCTGCTAAGCCTCGAATATTCTTTTTTTATATTTAAAAGAAAAGAAATTCCGAAAATCTTGATATGTATATCTACGTAGTAAAACCAGTTCAAAAAGTTTCTTACCCGAAATAGAAGAAATATTGAAAGGAAAAAACGTTTATACTTTTTAAATATAATCTCCCTTATGTTCAATACACTATGTACATTTTTTTGGAAGCATCTCCTATGCCCTTAAATAAATAATTTTTATCCTTAGTCTCAAAATAGACTTCAACGGCTTGAAACTTTTCGTCGGTGTGAAATCCCCTCTTTCGTAAGTCTGATTTTAATTTAGCAAACAGATAGTTGTCATTCGGAGCCAAATCTGGATTGTAGAGTAGGTAAAAGATTTCTTGGAATCCATTCTTTCACAGACTTGCGAGGGTGGAAATTTCATTCATCATCTTACGAGGAGCTTTAAGTCGTTACAGTCTATTTTGAGACTAAGGATAAAAATTATTTTTTAAAGGCATGGAGATGTTCTCAAAGGGATGTGTTAAAGGTATTGAATTTAAAAGAGATTATATTGAGAAAAACAATAATTGCAAGTTTTTTTCTTTCAACATTTCTTATATTTCGAACTTCAGCATTGGAGTGTAAATAAGATGTATTTGTTCGAATCGTTTAATTAATTTTGTTTCTTAGCGCTACGTTGTATTTAATGTTATAATTTTTTTGAAAGAATTTCTACAGTTAAAAAGGGCTAAATAAAGTTCAAAACGTTCCGTAAAATTATTTTTTTATTGTTGATTATAATATGAATAAAATTATATTAACTAGTCATCTTACTTGGTTCATTCCAGTTTGTTGACTTTGATTTGATCTCTTAATTGCTTTGCATACATATATATACAAGCAATTATTTATATGTATATTTTTGAATATCTGTATATGGTTAGAATGGATTAAATGAGGTCAGATTAGGTTGCATCAGGTTATATATTGTTACATGGCATAAGCTGAGCTGTTGACAGTTAGCAAAAATTGTGCACAGTTTTCCATGATTAAATAGTGATATTTTATTATGAAAACCGATATTTTTATTATCGACTTATATTTTCAGAATTTCTGTACATTTATTTCTTCCTCAATTTCAAATCTGTCAACAAAATGTCATACATTTGCTAATTTTTGAAAGTTAATTACATTTCGTAAGAAGATCATTATGTATCTCATTTTTATGGTACATTTGTGCTTATTTACTCACATCTTTCACATTTTTACACATGTTCTCTATATTGATGGAAAACTTGCATCACGTAATTCTGCAGCCTAAAAATTATACTACGTAATAAAAAAACCATTCAAAATTTTATTTCCCAATTGGGAACAGAAATTGACTTTTACACATCTTCCTTTTGTAGTTTATGATGCCCTGGTGTCCCTTACACATTGACAAAAAGAACCGCACTCTCTTACGAATATATTAAAGACCCTCTAATAAAAGTCTGTGGACACGGAATAGCCATTTTTTATTGAGATCCGTCATAACAATTATTGAAAATTTTCAATTTTAACGACTATTAAAAAGAAGAAAGAGAGAAACGAAGAAAATAAAAAAAGAATAGAACGGAAAGAAAAAGAAACAACGAGTGTATGATCTCTCTTCCGATTTTCCTAAAATTAGAAACCCTGCATACAAAATGAGATTTGTGTCCAGACTGTTGTTAGAGGGTCTCTAGGATACATTAATGCTCATTTGAAAGACTACATATTAATTGTGTAGTAGAATATTTGTAATAGTACAATATATTGAATTAGATAACTAAGAAGTTTCGTAAAAGTTAATATCGTGAGCAAGTATTCAGACTTGAATATGATCTGAATCAATTGTAATATAAAAGAATTCATATATAAGTTAACTGTCCTTATTAGTGTACCTTTAAGCTAACTTGCTCATTACTGAATTAATTATTAAATATTGTAGCTTTGTCTGCTCGAAATCAATATCAATTTTTCAACTATTTCTTTTTCTTGTAATACCTTTTAATGTAAAAAAAATGTTAATATTTAACGTTTTTGATAAAAATAAATGTTTTTGACCCTATTAGTGTGTCCTTCAAAGGCGATGGCTTCATTCATGTGCCCCTAATTTGTGTGCCTCGGCATTTGACTCGTTTAATATATATGTAGATAGCAAAACAGATGATAGATGTGAGTTAATAGTTTAAGTTAATATTTCATTAATCATTATTTTAATTATATTTATAATTTTAATGTACACTTATAACTCAACGCTCTCAGATTCAATACATCCATACAGCACACTTTATCCCAGAGATCTTCCTGGAAACGTTCTCAAGACGCCCTTCAAAACGTTCTTCGGAAATTTGTACTATAAGAGCAGGGCATACTAATAGGAACAAGCTTAAAATCTCGTAGTATTAAACTCACATAAATTCCTTATATCTTTCGAAAAATGTGTTTACTACACTTTAATAATTAAAAAATGGAATATTACCTTTGGTGTCGTGTATATTAATAATTTAACTTAATAAAAAAGATACTTTTTCTTATTTATTAGTGCTAGTTTTCTTTCTGGCATATTTAAAGAAAGGCATACTAATAGGAACAGTTATCCTAGTTGTCCTTTTATCTCAAATTACGTGTTTGATCAATAATGGCACATTATTTGTATATATACATAAATCAATAATTTTTAAACTTTTATATGAAATAATAACAAATTAACACTCAGTCAGAAGTCAGAGATAGATTTAATGTATTTCTTATTGGAGCATCTACCGAGATGAAGCAACATGTGATTCTTCAAATTAGTTGGTTTGCTGAAACCGCGACTGCAAATGTGACATCTAAATGGCCATAGTCCATTATGCACATACGTGTGACTCTTCAGGTCACCCGGCGTCGGAAATGATTTCGAACATTGCGAACATTTGTGTGGTTTCTCCTGAAAAAACATAACAAATATTTTGCAGTGGACATACGCGAAATAATTCAAATATATTTTAATTTACATATTTTGTATATATCGAAACAACTTCTCTGTTCTTAAAATTGTTGTTTTTCACTGATTCCTATTCTTATTCCATATTTGTATTTAATGATGTGCGTAGGATAGAAATGCCGTATTATTATATACACAATACATTTTCCTTCTATATACATACATATATGTTGAACATTTCGACTCGCTTTAGAGTCATCATCAGCGATACATTGCTTTTCTAAAGATTTGACACATTAATTTCTCATTCTACAAAGCAGTCACTATATATAATAATAGATTGAATGATCTAAAGTGAAGTGCAAGAATTTGGTTGTAAAAATAATATACGTAAGACGTTCATAAAAGAAATAAGAGCGTATTAACAACGAATAGAGAAATCATATATTCACAAGAACGTTTAAACAGAGTTACGCAAATCATTATAGTTAAACATTAGTAGTCAATAAGATAAAACATGTTAGTCGTGACCAGACAAAAGTGAGACTGCAAATATTGCAGCATGTTGCAGGTAAGATGGTAGGAGCCAGAATTGCTTGTTCCCATGTAGCATATAATAATTATATTTTGACCAAAAATAGAAATTCTTCATACTTAATTAGAATGAAAATTACTATTTAAAAAAATTCCTGTTTCTATTAAATCGTTAATCAAACATCAATTCTTGTTAAAACATTTGTATTGAAGAGACAAGAACTTCTGTGTGAAATAAATAAGAAGATGAAATTCGGAAGAATCTCACAGCGCAAGAAGAGCGAGAAGAGAAGATGTGAAGATGGCGAGGCGGAAAGGAAAAATCAGAATAAAATGACTCGCGCGGAAGGAGCAGCAGGATGACTGTAGAACGTGTGGAAGAGCAAGAGGAGGGGAGGGAGCAGGAGGGTAAGTAACGGCGAGGAGCCTTTGCCTCCGGCTCTGTACATTCTCTGTCTCCCTAATTGGATCACATTCCATGCGGTAGCAAGTAATGGGCCAATTACAGTAGCTGATGGCAGACCAACCTATATAGCTACCAAGATATCATTACTTCAAGTGAGGTTAGAGAAACTCATACAGTTTTCGCGATAAATAAAAATTTTATATCTTTCGCACATACACTGTTTTTCCTTCAATCGTTTTATACGATCATTGCTCGGCTTTTTTCATTAGGTATTCCAATACTATCTACCAAGCTTACACAAAAGGCAAAGCAGTTGAGAACACGATACGAGTGCATAGGAAAATTTTAAACGATTGAATTAATAATAATTCCATAAATGTGAGAGATATTTATAACGACTTAAAATGTCGCGTTAATATTTTTTTTACTATTTTTAATTTTGAAAGTAAAAAATCGGTTTTAAATTAAATTTTTTATATTATTAATTGCCGTTGTGATTCATAATAATTAAAAACTAAACTTTGTATATTATGTGAGGCTCGTACACACTATAAATACACACTATAAATTAAATATTATATTTTTGTATACATTTCTGTTGAAAGTATAAGCCAAAGATTTCCATTAATCACGTATAAGTTAATAATATGTTATATTTAATCACTTTTATGTATTTTTTCCATTACGTTAATGCATTGTTTCCCATTACATTATTAATATAATTCATAGTTTCTTATTTTTTTTATTATTGAAACAATTAAGAATGAAATCTTTATTTTACAACCGGACAAAGGCACAAAATACGGATCTTACTCAGAAGAAAGAACTAATATCGCCGTTTGTATTACTTATATTCCAGTAATATCAAATAAAAAAAGCATATGTATTTGATCTTAACAATTGACGTATAATTTTCATAAGTAACGACAGTCTCGCTTTTGTCTTTGAACTATTAACATGTTTTATTTTATATTGATGATCATTGAGAGTCTTATCTGCATGATTTTATCTTAATTTTCTTGTGGTAACGCTTTCTTTTGTCTTTGTCAATACCGTTCCTAGCTTATCCTCTTATGATAAGTCACTTTTAATTCATTGCTTTATATATCCCTAAGAATTGTATGCGATTTAGACATTCGTTTTCAGAAAGTCTCATTTATTACATTTATATATAATCAAATGGTTGTATGTTATTTTAGATCCATTAATGGCGTGCTATGATAGAATGAGAGAAAGTTATTAAAGAAATATTAAGTACGCTGATTATTCTAAAGCAAGTCGAAACGTTCGAACTCTATGTATGACGATCACTGTTGTTTTAAGTATTAAAATTACATTGTAAGATTAATTGCGCTCTATTTACCGCGTTTCACTCTCATTTACCTAATTTTCTCTAAATTTATTATTTCACTTTCTTCTCTAACAATATTTTTCTTATCATTAATTTTGTTCACATATCCAAATATTGGTTAGAAAACAAGTTCATTCAGTTTTGTTAGTTTAGAATTGCATATATAATATTTTTGTTAAAAACGAACGAAAGTTAAATTTAAGAAAAGAGTTTTTAAAGCTTGAAATCTTTACTTTTTAAAAGATTATTATATTTTTTGAGTTTATGTGAATTCGATAATTTTTATACATATAGAAAACTATGAGTTGAAAGAAGTGGAAAATTTTCTTCTCACTTTGTGGGTCTGTCATGTGTCCAAAAAAAATTTGCAAAGATTTTCGACTCTGATGTGAAAACAGTTTTTTTTCTCAAAATTCTCAAAGTTTTTAAAAAATGTTCCTATGTTTTTTTTGTTACTGAGTTACTTGCGGGTTATACCCACATTCTGATTTTGATTGCTCATAACTCGATTAAAAATCATCATACAATTATAAAAAAAAAATAGATTCTTAAAGGTAAATTTTGCTATATTAAATCATATAGTTGTTAAAAATTTATTTTGTGTTTAAAAAAATTGTGTTTTATTCCATCTTAAAAAACCAATCGAACTTACTTGCTAATTCAATAGTTTAGCTTTTTGTATCTTTAGTAATTATTCAGCTTTAATTTTGTTATTTTATCATGGATTCGTGATCTACTTTTCCTTTAAGCTTCCGAATAATTTCTTCACGAAATTAAAAGCTTTCTGAACAGAAACAGACAACTACTTTACTATTTTTTTATCGATTTTTATTCAATGAATATTAAAACATGATTTGAGATAAACAATTTTAAATTTTTATATTTAGCGTTTGGGTTTAAATTTAAATTTGTTTTATTTTAATTTCTTTTTTATTAATTATGTTTTCTAATACGTACATTTACAGTATCTATTATTATTACTTACTTTTGAATAACATTGAATATCAAATAAGTTGGCTTATCTTTTATTACTGTCCAACTAAAATTACAATCGTATCGTACATTCTGTACAGTGAGAGAAAGTGCCATTCGTATAAATTTTCATTCACACAATCACATATATATTTTATTGATTAGAAGTTATATCAATATATTGTTTTAGATAATATAATACTCCTGGAATATAATATAAAATATTCTTCATAAATAAATATTGATAAGTGGATATCAATTATTGATTCAGATAGAAGTTAAATTATAAAAACAGTAGATAAAAAATAAGTATTTTAATTTACATATGTACAATTTATAAGTGTACATAAATCCATATGTTATCTTGATGAGAGTAAAAGTAAATAAATTAAATGTTAAATTAAACGTATTATAAATTATTTTATTGTGGATTTACTCATATAATGAACTAATTAAATTAATTTTCAAATATAACTTTATAAAATAAATTTTTTCCCTCTTTTTAATACTGTTTTATTATTATAATACTATATATATATATATATATATATATATGTAGTATTTATCTCAATACTATATCAATGTATACATAATAATTTTATTTTTTAATAATATATAACTTTATTAAATAATTATCTTCATCTCTTTCAACTTACTCTTTAGGGTTGCTTAAACATGTTCCATAAGTGGAGTCCATTGAGCCTCTTTGTAATCAACAAAACTTTTTTCTTATTTATGAAATATATGAAGGATTTATAAGTATTTAATTATTGTTTGAGTCAGCTGAACATGCAACGTTTTAAAGTAATTCTCATTATTCTGTCATAATTGTGTAAAGATATAAAATAATAGAAAATGTCACAACTAGCTTCGCTCTACCCTAATAAATATTCGCCCATCACTTACCTTGATATGAGTCATCCTATGATAGTATAGATTTGATGAGGCTGTAAACTTCTTTCCGCAAACAAGACACTGATGAGGCTTTTCGCCGCTATGGATACGTTTATGCGTGTTCAACGAGCTCGATGTTGAAAAACCCTTGTTGCATACCATGCAGACATGCGGTTTTTCCCCTACGATTTAATATCATTCATGAATCGTCGCATTAATTTCTCACACTTATAATATCTGACTTGAATTAAATATGAACAATGATTCTTTTCTTTAAACGTACATAATTTATTTCGATCATTAGGCAAAAAACGGTTAGGATTTTATAGTGTATGTTGTCGGAAATCGCGCCACAAATTATACGAGCACTTAAAATTTATTTAATTTAACAAAAATATTATTTGGAATTTATATCATATACAGTTGTACATAAACATTTTACATTTTTTTGTTTGATTATCCAAATACATTAATCTAGTATATTTGAATCATTAAAATGCAATAGATTTGAATTGAATTTCGTAAAAAGTAACAAAAACAAAATTAATCTGGGCTAATGAAAAATTAATCAGCGCGAGAAAAGGTGCGCAATAAAACTTTAACAAATGTTATTCCATTTAATGTGTTGATGCCTTCTTTATTTAAAATCTTGAGAAATCATTGAACATTTCGATTCTCTTTAGAATCTTCATCAGCAATATTCTTAATCCATATTAGATTTCGCGATCAAGGTAGAGTCACTCACAGGTTGTCAAAACTGTAGTGTAATCTGTTTAATTCATATACTTGACCGTTCGCGAAATCTAATATGGATTAAGAATATTGCTGATGAAGATTCCAAAAAAAATCGAAATGTTCAATAATTTCTCAAGATTTTAAATAAAGAAAAAATTAACACATCAAATAGAGTAACAAATTTATTTGTTAAAATTTTATTGCGCATCTCCTCTCGCACTGACTCTCATTAGCCCAGATTAATTTTGTTTTTGTTATTTTAAAGAGAAAGAATCCTTTAACATGTTTATTTTCCCAAAAAGAACATATTTATATGGATAATCATGAATATCCTGAAAATAAGTAATGGATTATCTTTTTCAATATAAGAAAAATTGAATTTTGCTATTTTTTAATTAACAATGAAATTAAAATTAAACTACTTGTAAATTTAATTAACTTTTAATTGTGTCCAAAACTACTGAATCTAACAATAACAATTTTACGATATTATAAAATCACCAGAACTGGGCACGTGTTTGCAATACTTTTATTTTAAACACAGTTGTATTTGGAATACAATTGTATTTTGTATTTCATATTTCAGTGGATCACATAAAAGTATTTTGTATTTTGTAATTCAAATTGACTGTCAATCTTAGTATTTGAAATACAAAATGCAAAATATACTTTTAATCTTTTGCTTTGAAATTAACGAAATACAAAAATACTTTTATGTGCTATTCTGATCGAAATACAAAATGTAAAATACTTTCATGTGCTCCGCTGAAATACATAACACAAAATACAATTGAAGTATGTTACTGTTTTTCAAATAAAAGTATTTCAAAAACATGCTCAGCTCTAGGGAGATTACAAAGTTTTAATTAGGTCTACGCGTGTGTAAAAGCAAGTATTAATAGGCTGATATAATATAAATATAATCTAAATTGATATGAAATAAATACAAATGAATCTCAGTATCCAGATAAGTTAATCATAATCTTTAGAGTTCTGTTTCATACCTGTATGCGTTCTCATATGTCGTTTTAGAAGAGATGGCCGGTCGAAGGACTTGCCACAGACTTCACAAGGTAATAAAACCCTCTCTCCTCTCTTAATCGTTGTCAGGATACTGCAATCGAGATGATCACCGGCCAACGACAGCGTTGATGATGTGGATTCCTCAGACGTCGATTCGTATTCATCCAGCTCGTAATAAGAATGTGATATCGCTGGTAAAGAATGATGAGCGAGTAATGTCATCGAAAGATCCAACGGGGATTCTATGAATAATTCAAGTAAAAACTTTCTATTGATTTCATCCTCAAGCAATTTGAGGAGAGAGAGAGAGAGAGAGAGAGAGAACGCTAACTTTAAATTTTAAATAATTTAGTTAATTTCGGTCATACAGCCAGATAGCACATGGACGTCCTATGGATGTTACGTATTTGTACGTGGTCGTCTGGACGTCCATTAAACGTCCGTTTGTCACAGTTTCGGATTACATTGAATACGGGGCGTTTTATTAAATCCTATGAACATCTAAATAATGAATGTCCATATAAATTGGACATATGATCGAGGTCTATGCCCAGCAAACACCAAATATGAATACAATATAACATGGAAGAAACAAGCAATATAATTAATGTTATATTTTATTTATATTGTAGTTATATTATCTTACTTTATATTATATAATATAACTAGGTTATTAAGCTATTATATCATTATTTATATATTATAATAAACAAACAATAATATAATCGCATTTGTTGCGTGTTATATAACATAATATTGTTTCGTTGATATTATATTGATGTTATATAACTTTACTACTATAGAAACAAAAAACAGAGCAGAATATTAAATAAAAATAGAACAGAAATAGTTTGCGGCAATTTCATGTTAGTCTTTCATCTCCTCAGCTGATCGATCTCTCTCTCTCTCTCTTTCTCTCTCACCATTGTGATTGTTTAGCTATAATCGCAGCGCAATCGAAAAAAGAACAGAATTATCGAAAACGATCTGAAATGCAAATATGCGGCCGGCGTTTTTGTCGGACGGATCACAAGGTTCGTGAGTTCCGATTTAAATGTATAGGCTGCCACTGTTCCTGCGCATGTAAACCAAAGATAAAGGACAGTACAATAGCTGTGGGATAGCTAGACGACCCTTAGTTACAATATTGGAACGCAATATTTTTGTTTGAATTTAAAAATGGAAGAGTACAGAATAAAGTGCAAATTATACACATATAAAGATAAATAAATTTCTTTTTAATTTTGAATTCTTAATGTATATACATATACGTGTGTATATTCCGCGACAAGAATATAAATAAAACAATAAAAGAATGAAAGGTATTTAATTTAATTATAAATACACACACACACATAATATTAAAATTACTTATATTCAAATAATTTTAATCACAAAATGTGCAATAATCTTCTAATTATGTTTTCTAATTATGAGCACTATTAAGCATGAATTAAAATAAAGATCGATTAATGTCAAATCCTGATTAATATGGATCGTTCTAACATTATCCTTTGCGTTTCTCTATATTTTTTATTTTTCATGCTTCACTGACCTTATGTATTTTCGATACTCAGTATTAATTGAAATCAAACCGAATATCGGCATCAAATCGTCAAGTTATCACGTAAATATTACTAGCTTCCACAAGTAAACATTTCACTTGCGAAAGGAATAAGATTTTCGTGTGAGAATAGCGAAAGGTTTCCGCAGCGAAATTTCATTTATATTCGTGGGCGTGAAGATTTCCATTCCGTCCGCGCAAGATTTCCGATTCGTTCGCCCAAGATTTCCGTTTCTACGCATATATCCAAAAGCCAAATCTGATAACGTGCAATGTTATATCACTTGCCTTAACAAATTAATGAATTTTTTTAAATGAATACACAACCTAACGAATAATTTCGGAGTCGTTATTTGAAAGTCATCCTTGGTGTGCAAATCTTCCTGGTTTTATATTGTATCAGCACAACACAAAACAGATATTAAATTAATTAAGGTTAATTATTATTTCATTTTATTATATATTCTATTATATTCTTTTTGTCCATAATTTGAGAATAATTATAGCTGCAACGATATTTTATTTTTATAACATGTTTAAAATGCTTTCGAGAATCAGTTTTATATTTACGTCGTAAAAGTTATAAGAATTTCTTAAATGATTTAACAACATTAAAACCATATTTTTGCAATGATGTTTACTAGCAATATCTTAAGTGATCTTATGTCTTCCACTCACCGTCTAAAATAGAATCGATCGTGCACCTGTAGATTGCCGATCTGGAGCATACATCATGCGAAATGATAACGATATCCTGCTGTGTTACTGGCAAAAACCAAGCCACCAGCTCCGTGTCCGGTTGAACATTCTTTATCACTTCAAATATAGGTTCACCTAAGGAAATAAAAGAAAAGGAAAGTTTAAAGAAAAATATCAAATAAAAAGATGTTCAGAGGTGTCAAAGGATTCACGGGTTATCGCCGTGTCGCAATCCATTGCTAATACCAACGTTTTGTGAAACCTTTAGCACCTCTGAAGAAAACATCCGTGAAAGCCTCAAAATTATTATATATATATACAAAGATATTATCATTAACATATTGTCAATTGTAGAAAATTTCTAGTTTTTATTTTACCTATATATTAAATATAATTTTACAAAATCTTTTAAACGCTTACTATTTTTTAAGTACTTAAAATAAATTATAAGTACTTAAAAACTCAAATAGTACACAGCGCTTACAAAGCATTAACAATAGCGTTAAAAAAATTTTATATATTATATAGCTTTATATAATAAATAATCGCTTTTTAGCGCTTTGCAAGCGTCACCGTGCTAGTTGGGAAGATTAGATTGAACATAATGAAAGGAACAAATATTTAATAATCGCACATATATAGAAAATAAACAAAAAGTACTAAAAGAAAGATACTATAGATTTTTTTCTTAGTCTATAATTTAATTCAATAACTTGTATTACATTATATTTGATTTATTTCTGTTTTAATTTAATTCCTTTTTGACGCCACGAGTAATTATATTGAAGTTACATTAACATTAATTAACAGCTTCAATACAGCGACTACTATTATCCATATATAGGATTTAAAAACTTATCAAACTAGACATTGTTTTCGAGGCTTACCTTTTACCTTTGTACCAATCAGATTAACTTGTTCATCGTATGATTGAACGATACGGAGAAATCTTATCCAGTTACATTGACGCTTGTTAAGATTATAATTGGAGAAGAAGACTTCGTCATAGCAACCATATTCGCGTCTGATCTAAAAACACATCGACAATATACGCATTGATGTCGAATTCTTTTTTGACAGTACTTATTTTAATAAGTAGAAGAAGGGAGGTTTATTATTTAATTTTTTTCAAATAACTCAGTAGATATTTATGTGCTATAATTTCTTCTGGAACAAGTTTGTTATAATCATAGAGTGATATCAATGTATAAATTGTTGTTATTATACTTTATCCATTTTTTAAATATCTTCCGTATTTTGTATTAAATTTATTACTATCGTGAGAAAACATCCTACAATACAGTTCTAAAGGATGTCCGAAGGACGTCTACATCATAAGGACGTCCTCAAGATGCCGCTCAGAGAACTGTGTTCTGTGGGATTTATTTTAATAAATATATATATTTTTTAAATAAATATATTTGAAATATTATTCTAGTTTTTTACTCCTTTTTCATGGCATAATTTTTGGTTTTTTCATTATTTTTGGGCTTTGTTTTGATATATTTGCGTAAAAACGTTACATTTTAATTTCACTTCCTTTTTTTGTGATATTATTTTTGATCCTTTTGTATGTTATTATAATTACATACGAATAATATTAATTATTTAATTTAGTATTAAGTTTTTAATACGAATTAATATTAATTCGTATTATAAAAGACTAAATAAAGTTAAAGTTATATATATATATATAAAATTAAATAAAATAATTATAGGAAGTATTCGTACTTACATCATTGTCATCAAGGAGAGAATAAAGGTCAATTTTGTCGAATCTAATTGATCCTTGAAATGGATAAATCAAGGTTCCCGATGGAATAAATACATTCGACCATACCGAAATTCTCATATCCAATATGCTTGAATCATTCTTGAAAAGATTCTTGCAGGCTGACTGATCGTTGGTAAGGACCAAGGAAAATTCTCTAGGTATCAATACACAAGTTTCCATAACAGAGACTCGCGTGTAAAAAAGTATTTTAAGGATTTACCACACTATACCGGTATACTTCCACTTTGCAAATTATTATTTTAAGTATATCTGTAATTCCACCATCAAGATAGAATGTTTTAGCGAAATAAAATCGAAACACATTTAGTATATTGCGTATCAAACGAAAAGTATATAGTTAATAAATTTCAACGCAGAACAAATAGAATCACACGTTCTTTAAAAACAATTTGTTTAATTTTCAAACACGATAATAATTTGTTAATTACGCGTTAATATGTATATATTTATCGAGTATTATATTAAAAGACGGAGTAACACATACACGTATATACGAGAATGCAAACAAACGGAGAAATAGAATCGTTGGTTGTGCAAGGTGCAAGGCCCTCAGCCGACTGGACGGGATTAACCGACTGATCTTGACCTTGCGACGGGTTAGCAGCATTTGCTACCGAATGGTAAGCCCTTCCCCTCTCGAAACCACCTATTCCCACTCGCCCCACCGAGCTCTCGCCGTGATTATTATTCTTTTTCATCGGCGTAGTAGGAAATAGCCTTAGGGATATTCGACTGGCCTCGACTGGATTTCTCCACTCTTCATCAGCCGCTCGCTGTCATGTGATCGAGCCACTGTTAACAACATCCTCGACTGCGAATGAGATATGAGATATTTATAATGTTCTCCTACGAGCGAAAGTATAAGAAATAGACGAGGCAAGCTATTATTAATTTCTTCGTAACGTCTTTAATTCTTCATTTAAGTAACTGATGAACATTTGTGAACATTTACGTGTGAAGAATCATGATTTATCCAAACAAAATAGACTCTACGCCAGTGTAATGTTCACCCCACCACATGCACTTGGCGTGAGGGTAACTTGAGTGTGGAGCGAGTGCCGATCTGTTCAGCCGGCATAAGGAAGCCGACCGGTAATCCTCCTCGTCTTCTTCGTCATCTTCGTCGCTGTTGTCATCGTTGTCTTCTTCTTTTTCTTCTTCTTCGTCGCTCTTCCACCATTCGCGACGATGCTTCAAAGAAACCACGTGGATGTCCGCGCACCTGTCGCTCTTTATTCTCCCTCTCCTTCGCTCCCTCTTCCTTCCTTTTTCTCTTCTTTCCTCTCTCTCTCTCTCTCTCTCTCTCTCTCTCTCTCTCTCTCTCTCTCTTTCTTTTTCTACGTTCCCTATCTTCTTACAATGTCTGTTCTTGTCTCTCCTACTACTGTTTCCAGAAAATAGCCTTCATCGTACCTTTTTCTCTGTTTTCATCGTGCTTCCATCAGGTCTGTTCTACTAATCTGCTGGCAACTGCTCACTCCCCACCAGTTACTTCTTCCCCTGTAAAGCAAATCTTTCCCCGCACTAGAGGCACAGAGATCCTCGTGCTCTCTTTCTCGAAGCTCTTTTTACTCTCATTTATCCTTCCTTCTCATTTGATTCCCATTGGTGTCTCATTTCGCTTATACATTTTCGACTACACTGAAGAATTCAACAATATGCGCAACTATCGAAAAAATCCCTCGATATTCCGATTATAACGAACTCATATTCGCACCGAGACTGAAAATTGTAAATTGTATAAAAATACAATGAAATGCATTTGTTACGATATGAATATCTGATTTTTATACTTATTGTAAGACCTTACTTATTTATGGAATAATTATTTTGATATAAAAATCTCGAAAAAAGGAGAAACCTTAATATAATTATACAATATTTTAAATAATATCTTTAGATATTAATTTAATTTAATTTAATTTTCCTCAACAACTTTTATAAATAAAATTTCTCACTCAATATTTTATTTCAGTAAGATTTCTTCGCTTTGATATGATTTTAATTAATTGTGATTTTTTTCTATTTTCTTATCCGAAACCATTATACTTTTAAATGTCCTGCGCAATCTTTTAAATTTAATAACATTAGGTGTTATATATTTTCATGTTCCATCTATCTAAATATTATCAATAATAGAATTTCTCTTCTCTATTATTTTTCTTCGCCGTTACATTTTCCTTTTTTTCTTCACCGTCGTTGCATCAAACTTTTTCGAAACCTTGTCGTAGAACAAATATAGTAAGTTATTCTAATACAGTATATATTTTATTAATTATCAACGTACTTATAAAATCTTTAGGCATTATAAAAAAAATTAAATTTTTATTATAAAATTAAAATATCCCCGATATAAAAATTTCCTATAGTAGAAATGTCCTCGGCAGCACCACGATACTTTGTCACTAGACATAGAATTCACTTTTCTTTTGTCCAAATGGGTATATATATGAAAAGATAATAAAAAATTAGAATACCCAATATACAGAGTGTCCCGGACCTACGGGATCATCTCTCGTGAACAGATAGAGTGGACTAAACTGAATCGAAAAGTTCTTTACCATTTTGCAATTTTTGTAATACTTTAGAAGATATTAATTTCTCTAAATATGAATAAACTGAATGGTTATGGTTGCTTGATCGAGTTATGGCGCCTAGCGCGCACCTATTAGGCAGTCCCCATGCGACGAACGACCGCAAGCGATGGGCGTATACTTGGCAGTAGTCCGCGTGAGTACGTGCTTATTCGGTGATCTTTAGAAATTAATATCTTCTAAAGTATTGCAAAAATTACAAAATGGTAAAGAACTTTTCGGTTCGGTTCAGTCCATTCTACCTGCTCACAAGAGGTGATCCCGTAGATCGGGGACACTTCGTATATTATACAATGCTTAACACACACACACACACGCGCGCGCGCGCGCACACACACACACGCACACACAATGACTAAATTATTATATAATTATTACCTGAAATAAAGTATGAAACCTATTATAATGCAACATATCAAAAATAGAATCAGAACCAACGCTGAATAAGCCACAAATTTTTCGTTTCGCATCCATCCAAAAATTGGTCGAGTTAGTTTATCTTCCATTAAATGAGTACGCCAATTTGGAGGGTTAAGAACTTGTCCGATTGATAAAAATATTTCATATATATAAGATAAAAATATTTCATAGACAGTACACAGAATTTTCAGTAATAAAAGTATTTGGAAAAGGAACAATATTTTCTACAGAAAGTAAAATAATTTTCCATCGTTTTGATAAATAAATAGCACAAAACCTACAGCACAAAAGTTGTAGCAACATTGCTGAAATATTGCAACAATATTGCAGCGTTATTGCAGTGATATTACTGCAATTAATTCTGTGCTATATGAAAATAATTTTTATAAGAATGTTTATAATATTATATTAATAAATTTATTACCAAACGCTTCAACAGGCATATATGTGTATGTATGTGCGTTTATATAGCCGTATGAATATTAGCCAGCAAAATGTTAGTAGAATGTCGACAGATTAGTAAGCAGATTTGATCAGATGTATTAGTTAGATTGACTTCAACTAATATCGCATGCTTCTATTCTGTCGACAGTATCTGTTGAACATTTTATGGGTGCGTTCCGAATTACACATGAAGCGCATGATGCATCATTTGTTCTTGTTGTTTATCAATTAATAAAAAGAAGAATACAACGATATATCATGTGCTTCATGCGTAATTCGAAACCCATCCTATGTCAACAGATTGACAGAAATTAAACAAAACGCTTGTTGACATTGTATCTCAGCAGATTGGCAGAAACTAAACAGGATCTGACTATCTGGCAAGAGAATCTTGATTCTTTTTTATTTAACTTAAATATATTTATTAACTTAAATATATTTTATTTAACTTAAATAATATTAAACTATTCTGATGTTTAAAAAAATATTTATTAAATATATTTCGTACCTTTCACGCGGATTACATTTGTTGTCCATTTAAATTTCAAGTCAATTTGCTCCACGATGCATTTCCATATACCGTGATGAGACTTATTTATAGTAGGAACATAATCAACATTTGTAGCTACAGGCAATGTAACTCCATAGTCTTTCCATACGTTACCATTGATCATCCAATAAACTTTCAAATTAGAATATACATAACCGAGGATAGCACAGTGGCATGTAACATGCATAGATAGAGTTTCACGAATAGTAATGCTTTCCTTAATAGGAACTACTGCCAAAGTTATCACCTTAATTATCATATATGTTCCATCTATTCGATGTATAGTAAGCGTATATACGCCCGAATCGTTTAATGCTGCTCTATTTATTACTGTAAATTAACAAAATTATATATGTTAATTTATCCATATCGTTACATATAAATAATCAATTATTGTAAATAAATGTTATATTACGTACTGATTTCGTAATCTTTAATTTCTCGTCTGTGATGATTGTTTTGAATAAAAATTCCATTATGGGACCACTGTATTTCAGAATTAGGTGATTCAATTCTGATAATATTCACAATATTAGAATCTGAAGGAAGTGATACTGATGCATATTCCTTCACAATAAAAGCAGTATGATTATATGCGATAACTTTTTTTATTAAAGTTATGGTATCTACAATTAAAAATACAAGTAAATATTATTATAACGTATTTTTAAAACAATTAGTACACAAAGAGAGACAAATACTCGATATAATATTACATAATATTATATAATGTGATATCACACATGATATTTCTTTATATAGTTAAAAATAATTAGAAACATGTATATTCTAATTATTCGTTATTTGGTAAAAAATAAGATGATTTAGGAAGATATAATAAAATATCTTCTTAAAAACATCATTAGCTTGTAAAGAATATTACAAAAATTTTAAGATATAAAAAAATAATATTTATCTTTTGAAAGCTGTTTTTTCGGTAATTCTATTTTGTATGTAAAAGAATTTTTTAATACTTTATAATTAAAAAATTTCATATTAGTAAAAAAATTATTATAATAATTTTATTTTTAAAATGGCAATTGCTTTTATGTGATTTTGAAGAAACTACTTTTTTTGGAAGATGATTCTTTTAAAATGAGATACTTGGTATATTGTTTCACATATAGAAATATTTAATAAAATATTTCGAA